ATATAGAATATAGAATATAGAATATAGAATATAGAATATAGAATATAGAATATAGAATATAGTATTATCACTTTTAATAATATATATGCATATAGAACTTAACTGAACAAGTTCAGATACAGAATCCCAGCTTCTGCTTGAACTAGATCAGCTTTATGAACAGCTTTATAAAACTCGTCTGTTCAGTAAAGTTTACTATATTTCAGATAACACTAAAGAGATTATACAAATGAACAAATTTAGAGCAACAAGCAAGTCTATATACTAGAATGAGTTTGACCAAGAAATACCCTAACTGTATTTACTATGAAGGCTTTACTTGCATCAACACAATTTTGGTTTTGATGAATCAATTTGTATGCATTTCAGGTAAATTGATCAATGGTCAATCATTGTGATTTTAATACTACTAGCAACATCTGAGTAGACCTAGATCTTACGACTGTTGAGATTGACGCATTCAACGAACTGTATAAGCTATGCCTTGTGCTAGCTGCGTGCTACTTAAATGGACAATATCCGGCGACTGAAACTATACGTTCTGGATATTACAATGAGAGACAGAGAGAGAGAGAGAGAGAGAGAGAGCGAGAGAGAGACAGAGAGAGAGAGAGAGGAAAAGGGGTCTATTAAACACCCCAGAACTCGGGCATTGCGAGCTTAAATAAAATAAATGCAATCGCAAATTGGAATTGAAAATTGTAAACGTAATTGAAATTACGAAGGCCATTGCAATGCGACACTAAGACTAACTACGCAAAAACGGGTCGCTCGCACGCACACTTCAGTGGATGCTGGGGTGACAACACGTGAGTCTCTGCGCCCTGGTGGAAAACCAATAAACTGCATGCTCATCTGGCAGCCAGCATCAAATGGGATATACACTTTTTCCACTGAAATGATTTTCACCAAATTTTCCGCCCTTTTTCACAGACCTGCCGGCGATTTTGGGGTTGGCCATAAAGCTGTCACCTTTTAACAAAGTTTTCGCCACAAATGCGTTGAAGATTTTTACAGACGCTGCCCAAACATGGGCTCAACATGTCTTACATTAGAAACACATTTATACCCATGACAATTGACCAAATGGAATGCAGGGTATATGTGAGCAGGCATCTTAGGTAAAGAAACTTGAATACCGATTTCTGTTGTAAATCGACATATATATCGATGTAGTCTTGTACATAAATGCCTTAATGTACATTTTCATCGATAATAATCGATAACACTCATTAAATATATATCGATAATAGAACAATTTAATAAATATATATAAAACTAATAGCCTAAAATCATACAGAATTGATTAAATGTTAATATATCGATTATTATCGATACAAAGACTGGTATTTGTCGTATTTTTAATAGTTTAAAGAAGGTTCATCGATTCAAGCCCGTCACAGTTGAAATCATTTGATCGATCATTCCGTTTTTAATGCCTTTTCGATATTTATCGAAGCGTCAAGGAAGTTAATACAAGTGTATTACTGAGAACTAAAAGAGAGTTTCACTTAGCAGCAATTCCAAGGGAATCTGTCAGCCTGGCATACCCGAATGAAGAGCTTTTGTTTTCCGTTTCGTTTCGTGAAAAATCATAAAAACGAAAGCAAAGAATTTTCTTCTTTTTTTTTTTGACGGTGCTGAAAGGTAATAAATAAGCGCTAGATGCGCACACGTGTGCTGTTAATCCAACGCACCCCAGTCTGCAGGCTGCAGCATGCACTCGACTCCCCACACCCCCCATTCCACTGCCCCAACACTTTCCCTGCCTTTGCCACATCGAATGAATGGCGAATGCCCCCGCAAGCGATCCACAGCAGCAGCAGCAGCCACGCATGGTACGACGCGTCGTTCCAATTAACGGCACAGCAAAAAAGAGCCGAAAGACGTAGCAGCAACAGAAAGAACCCGAGCCAGAACTGAAAAGAACCATATCGGAACAGAGCAGAGCAGAGCGGATCCAACCCGACCAT